AAGCAAACTGTGTGTGTGTGTGTGTGTTTTGCTGAGAGTCTCATTCCAGTCCCCTGTGAATGATAAACTAGCATCTACCATCTACCACTAGGCTGTAGACAATTTTTAAGACAAAATTTTAATAATTTATTTACTTTTGTTTTATGTGCATTGGTGTTTTGCCTGCATGTATGTTTGCATGAGGGTACTGATCCCCTAGAACTGGAGTTTCAGACAGTTTTTTTGAGCTGCCATGTGGGTGCTGGAAATCGAACCCAGGTCCTCTGGAAGAGCAGCCAGTGCTCTTAACCACTGAGTCATTTCTCCAGCTCCTTAAGACACTATTTTTTACACATGATTTGCCAGCCTAACATGTCAGTTATATTTTATTTTAATTTTCAAAGTTCCCTAGTAGTCTTGAACAATATACATGTATATTTTTGAAGGCTTGTGTGAAAATATTGAGTATGTAATTTTCTACTGATTTTTCCTATTTAAAATAACAGTATTGACATTTTCTTGAATTGCTTCATTGTCTTATTTTTGATGACTAATATATAATAGTAAGTTCAGTGATCATATAATGAATTTATCTATGCTCACTTTGTAATTTAAGAAACTTTAAACAATGTTATGAGTCATAATACTCTAAGCACATGAAAGAAACACTGAAAATACTTAGCATCGAGGTGTGGGGGAAGACGCCTATAATCCAGACACTTAGAAGGCATAGGCAGAAGGATCACCAAAGAACATGATCATTCTGGAACGTTCCATCACATCTCTTCCGAAGAAATTCCCATCCTAACTTCTAGAAGTAACAAAACTCTTGTTTTCTCCATAAATCATCTTTACCTGTTGTGCATATAGTGTTTCAGTCCAGCCAGCTATGAAACAAGACCCCATTTCAAAATAAAATAAGCAAGGAATCTTTTAGAAAGCAAAATTATACAGATAGCATAAGCAATGCCCTTCCAAACCATTATGCCGGGATAGGTATTAATTGACATATGACTAAGCAAGAGCTGAATTTGTATCTGGACGTCTTGTTTGTCTAAGGATTGCATTTCTCCACTTGTGTTTATAGTGTAACAAGCCCTTTTATGTTGGAACCTCCAGAGATGTCCACACAAATGTACTGATGCACTACAGAGAAACAGCGGGATATAAGGCAAGCGTGTGGGTTTGGAATCAAACAGACTTGGACTGCTTGCTGTGCCTTGCGATGTTATGTCCTGCAAAAATACTTGTTCTCATAACAGCTCTGTTTATTATAGAAAAGAATTGAGAGCAGCCCAGGTGTCCATAGAGGGGGACGAATAAATTGATGTTACAGAGAATGAATTCATAGTATACGGGCAAACATGGGTGAATCTCAGATTAAGCACCACGAATGATGCTTTGCACTTTGCACAAGAGTCCACACTCTTCCCTTGTGTGTGTATCCAGAACAAGTGGAACTGATGTACTTGACAAACAGTGAGAGCAAACGAACAACCAGAGGTCAGGGTGGGAATTTGCTCAGAAGAGACACAGGACACTTTCTGGGATGCTGATCACAGTCTGTGGGGTAACCAGGGACTGGGCTGTGTGTGCTATCTTGAATGTGGACAATGGCATTCTTAGGCTTTGTGCTCAACATTGTATGTAAAACTTTGCTGAAAGAAGAAGAAGAAACCTCTGGTTAATTATACTGCATGGAAGGCATTTACCCTCCCTTTAACTATAACAAAAATTAATACATTTCAATAGATGGAGGGATTGGTAGATAGGTAAGTGGGCAAACAATAAAATACTATTATAAAATATAGGGTTTCCTCTGTGATTTGAAATTTTCATAATCAGACATTGGAAAATATCTTTTGATCTGGGGCATGCTTGATACTTATTTTGAGTTTTATTTCAGCATAATGGAGGCAATACTGCTTCACAAAGTAAAGCGTCTAGTGTTGTCACTTTGTAAGCCACAGTGTTTGAAGATTTGGCAGCACTGCCTATGAACAGTGGTCTGAAGTGGAATGTAGCAAAATCATTGGTGATATGAGCAATGGAATGCCTGTCTTCTGATTACATATTCTCTGAGTGGGAGAGTAGCTTTTAAGATTGGCGTTAATGGTTCAGACTCCTTTGGGGCATCCTGCACTGGTATCTGCCCTAAAGAGAAAGGTGAAGGTACAGACAAAGTGTCACAAGCAACCATAATATGGGTGTCGATGTTTCAAAGGAGCTTTAGTCATTCGGCCCACTAATAGTTCTAATTGAGATCACTCATTTATGTCACAGATATTTATTGAGTGAGTACACCATGGTATCCTCCCACGAGCCAGAAAAAGGAAGACGAATGAACATGCAGAAATCTACAGCTTCCGGCCCTCTTGAAGTTCACATTCTAGTAATCACAAGCTTATTGGATTTACAGGAATCAGTCTGGTAGCTGTAGGGGCAGAAGAAGTTTGGGGTAGCTTTTCTCAACACCCATCATGTCATGATAGTCATGGCCCCCACAACCATAACAAAAGACGGGCTAACCCAAGTAACCGTGGCACATTCATCTAGTTAAACTTTTATGTGGTAGAGGGACCTCCAGAAATGAAGCTCTCGAGACCCACGGAAAGCTGTTCTCATTATTGGAATGCAATGTGGAAATGTGAATGGACCACAGGGTGTAGTCTAATGGTCACAACCGAAAGGAGTCTCAGAAGGACCTGTGTGTCCAGATTCTTGTCCTTTGTGTGTGGCATTCCTTCTGAGAATGGAGTGAAACCCCGCTTCAAGGGGGAATGGAGAAGGTGACACAGATCTCGTTGCCTGCTTTGAAGAAGGGCTCCAGCTTCTGTGACTAACCTCGGGTAGCCAGAATTGTGATCTCTATCAATTGCTTTGGGGGAAAAAGGAGAAGCAGAAGGGCGGAACAAGGTCAGAGAAACTGCTTCTGCGGGCTGAAAACACACAGCACACCCTGGCGCCACACAGCAGAGTCAGCTTTGATGTAAGAGAACAAAGCAGGTGCAGGCCAGAGCTTCAGATAGCCAGTGGCCTTTGTCAGGCCAACAACAGCGAGACAAGGAACAGAGTCAGATGCCAGGAGGCAATGTGGCCAGTCACGCTGTTTCCTTATTCTTCCTGACTGTCCATTTATGACTATGGAGTCCCTGAATAGTGCAGTTACAAAGACCAGAGCAAGGGTGACTGAGCCACTTACGTTCATATTATGGCATTCTAGAACTGGCTTTGTCTTGCGCCTACCCAAAGGCCACAGCAAACAATCCATGACTTCCTGTTAACATAGGTCTTGTGTGTGTGGGAGGGATGGGGGGGCTATATCATAAAACAAAACATTTTTATAAGTCACCCAAGGCAAGGACATTTTTCCCATCCCACAGTAACTAAGTTCATTACAAGTTCTGGGCAAAAGAAAATGATGAGAGGATAAATATGTGTACATCACGGATAAATGCTGCAAACCTTGTAACACACTTGGGTACAAATGAGAGCAGTTTCTTCAGTACTAGGAGCTCTTTGGTGTTGATGCACTAATCTAGGTGAGCTTTGAGCTTCTACTTTCTTAGCGAGGCATGAGCTGTGTGTGGAGGGCTTGCCTTTTTCTTCCCAGTATGACCAGCATGTATACAGCAGGTATACAATCAATATGAGTTGAATTATTGCAGATTTGTTTCCATTTGCTCCTGTCTTTCCTAGGGAATAATATAGAAATGACTAGTGACTAGGAAAGATGTGCGTGAGTGATAACTTGGTTGTGATCTAAAGTGTAGGAAATCAATAAACAAAAGCAGGTCACTGCCTAGACAGGTACCGACCTGCTTTCCCTTGCAGAGGAAGGGCTAAGATGAAAATCTGTGTTTCAGGGCCTCTCCTAAGGTCAAGGAGTGTTGGACAAGGCTGGGATATTAGGATGCAGGAGAATGAGGCTTCATAAGACAAGCTCGTCTCCTGGTAGCCTTGAAGAATGAGAGAACTCTGGGTATGTGGGTTGTTGTTCTGAGGCTCCGAACCCGGGGCCTTGTGTGGTAGGCCAGTGATCTACCACTGAGCCACACCCTGCTCTAAAAACCTAGCCAAGTCACTTGGCTTTCATTTTTCTCTAACAAGCTTTATTTGGGAAAAGAATCACTCCGGTTCATGCACCTGTCATAACCTGTCTTACAAGTACTTCATACATTTTGGTTTTTCACTCCAGATGATTTCTAAGGCGATGCCACGGGTTTTCAATGGGCACGATTTGCTAGTATAGAACCGAAGGTAAAATGTCCTGTCTGTTTATATAAGAACACACTCACAAACCAGTAAAACACCCCTCCCACTGGTGCCCTGATTTGTTTCATGTTACAACAGCTCAAGTTGTCTCTTACAGAATTCCGAGCAAGTATCCTCCTGCCAGCCAAGCCAACGAGCAACCTGACAGAAGAGCCACTGTTTGCTCTCTCTTCAGGTCAGTTGTGCATTTTTAAATGGGCGGCTTTGCTATAAACGCCGGCTAGAACGCGTCTAAAGAATCGATGCGTTTGGACTTGGGAGCAGGCCTTTATTCGTCCCACAGGCCTAGAGCGAAAACTATGCCAGGCATTTACCTAGCCCCAAATCACGCTGAAACAAACATGTTTTACGTCTTGTTTAAGCCGGTGCGTGTTATGACTTTTAGGGTAACAGGCTTGCTAAAAAGAAAAGAAAAATTACTACATTGTTCCTTCTGGTATGTCTTTAACATAAAGTCTTCCTCTGCGAGATTAACTGATACCATCTGTGGGTATTTGCTTCCCCACTCTCGGCTTGCAGACTTGCATTTAAATCTTCATGCTTCTTTTTCTAGGCTTTCTTTCAAATTGCGGGAACACAAGAGCTAGTCCTAGCCGGTGGCCAAACACTGCCTCTGAGTCCCAAGTCTTTTTAACCTCTTGCTTCCAACTCGCATCTGAAGGCAAAACAATCCTGGAGACACGGCCCTCCCCCTGCTCGTGATAGGCTGCTGGGAATAGCAACAGCCTGTGTCACCGAAAAGGGCAAAGCCTTCGGAAATAGAAACAAAGTTGGTTACAAATCACACTGGCTTTGCCCGAAGGTTTCCCCCCCAACCCCTCCCACTCTTCTTTAGCATGCTGCCCATGGGGACGGTGACCACTGCTGTCAGAGCGGTAGGTCGGGGTGGTTCGGTGGCGAGGGAGAAGCTGTAACTTCTACGTGACCATGGTACCTGTTGAAAACACAGAGGGCCCCAATCTGCTGAACCAGAAGGGGAGAGAGGCGGAGACCGATGGCAGCTGTGGAGCCAGCGGCGGCCGGCATCCTGCCTGCGCGGGAGGTAAAGTGAGACGGTGGGGCTGGCTCGGGTGACCGCCAGAGGGGAGAGTCGTCCCCGTGAGCCCCTCGGGACTGTGCGTGTGTGGGAGTGCGAGTGCGCGCGCCACACGGGAGCGCGCTGGGTGCGTGGAGAGAGGAACACAGGGTCTGGTGCGACGTGGAGTGACCCAGAGTTGTACATGTTGAGGACTGAAGTCTCCTTGGGACTTTATGTGCTAAAACGTTGAGTTGCAACCCCGCTACTGCTGCCATGGGCTCCATCGACTGGCTTTACATAATGCAATGCATACGTTCTTCTTTCTTGGGAAGGTGGATCAGAGTCTCATTTGTGAGCACACACTTTCTCATTTATTGTTGCAAATGGACGGTGTGGAACAAGTGGACGTTGTGAGCATCGCCTTTAAAAAACAGCCTTCTAAGTAGACATCATACAATCATTGGTTATGTGAACAGCACAATTTTCCTTTTTAACTCGTGTTAGTCTGTGCCCCAAATGCCTCCTTTTCTTGTCCCTGCTTTCCTGGATACTTGCCTTTCAAAATGAGAGTTGTTGAGTACTTTCTCGTCCCTAAAGAGAACATCAGTAGTTTTCATTACATTGTCTGTACTAGCCTATGTATTTGTCTTTGCTTCCACAGTTACAATCCCCAAACACACATGTACCAGTTTTTTGTTTGTTTGTTTACTTGCTTCCTGGTGCCTCTTTTTATTCATTTAACTGTGTTATAAGATGACACATATAAATGACCCTCTCCTTCCTACGGTTAACACTTTCATTGGCTCCATGTACTTCAATCATACATTCTATTATTCCCAAGCTGCCTGGTAGAATGTCACAAACAGTCACCAACGCTCAGGGACACAGAAGTCACTCGTTGCCTTTCATCTGGACGTGGATGTTGAAGTGGTGGGTTTGTCTGATTTGGGCACAGAATTCACAAAGCCACATGTGGATGTGAAGCGGTCCCATCTCAGGAACAGAGAAGCTCTCTTCTTTCCTGCCTTGCTCTGGGGGCCGAGCCAGCTCTTTCTTTCCCATGTCTAGTCAAGAATGGATACCTGGGGCCATCTTAGAACGTGGCCTCTCTCTTTTCCCAAGGCTTTGTTGGCTGACTGGAAATTCTGTGAGCAGGCAAAGGGAATCAGATTGGCGGTCAGACAGGTCTTATCTACAAATTCCTGAGAAATGAGCTGCAGGAGACAGCAGAACTCTGAGCTGGTGCCAACAAGCAAAGGGTCAATTAAATGGAGGCACAGTGTCCTAAAGGAGAGGAAAAGTAACTGGCCAACCTGACTTTTGCAACAGCCATTAGAAACTGACTTAAGTTTTACCACCCATCTGTAATGTCAGTAGGAGGCAGGAGGATCTAGGTCAACCCGGATGACATCGGGAGAGCCCTGTCTTCCAAGACACACACGCCTTTAAGGTGGCTTTGGAAACACAGTGTACCTGCATATCATGCATTGTGCACATTCACAATTATCTCCATGGAAGGTAGTGTACAGATATATCTTGAGCATAAATACAGATTTTGATGTAAAGTGCTACTGCTTATATCACTGTAAGGAAATAATGAATGCCTCAAATAATCTATCAAATTTGATTCCAAATGAATCCTCATTATGTAGAAGGAAAAAAAACCCAAAGTTTTCTTTAGCATCTCAGATGAATACAGCTTTGGGTTTTGTTTAAATATAGTTTCCATTTAGATGAATACTAACCTTTTAGAGTTCCCTAAATTGTCTTAAATATCTCCTGACACCTGAGAACAACCTTACACATATATGAATAAATGTATTATAGAGCCTTGATGTATGGTTTTAAGAAATAATCTAATTTTTCCTTCTCTAATATTGGGATTATATCTTAGTCAAGAGGTTGATGTTTACTGAAACAACATTTGCCAAGTGCTTTTTTTGGTGTCCTTGTATTTCAAACTTACACAATTTCTTTTACTCAGGAAATTCAGAGTATTTCAACTATGCTTAGTGATTGTCAGCATATTTCTGTATTCAAAGTTTTTCTGTATTTCTAGGTGGTAAAAATAAACAAGAGAAAAGGGGGATGAATTATATAACCCAAGTTACTGTGATTAAACTATGAGATACTGAATCAGCCAACAGTGAGTGACAACAAAACCACAAACTCTCAGCTCCTCCCACCTGCCCCTCAATGCTCCTCCCACCTGCCCCTCAATGCTCCTCCCACCTGCCCCTCAATGCTCCTGCTCATGGAAAGCGTTTTGGAAAGTCTTCCTTGGTCAACCCTTTAATTAAAAGGGGTGCTTTTGAGGTGGGGGGGGATGCTGGAGAGATGGCTCAGAGGTTAAGACCACAGGCTGCCTTTCCAGAGGTCCTGAGTTCAGTTCCCAGCAACTGCATGGTGGCTCACAACCATCTATAATAAGATCTGGTGCCCCCTTCTGTCGTGCAGGCCGACCACTGTATACATAATAAACAAAAAAGGGTGCTTTGTCTTGACGAATGGAAGCTAATGAACTTCATTGTTTTTCCAAGAAGCTATGACTCAAAGTGAATACATTGTCAGTAAAATGTACAGCGTTCATGGACACATTCTGATTGACCCTCTTCAATTTCAAATCTTGGTGCCTAGATCCGATGACAGATACAGGTGAAGGGAGACTCTTCACGGCCAGAGCATCTCTCACAGGGTGGAAGGGGAAGTTGCCAGAGGCTGGCTGGTACGGGACTAATTTAGGAGAGTCCCTGGCTCGGAGCTTTGGTGTCTGTTCCTTCACCCACAGCTCCTATGCTTTCCTTATTTTGACATCCAAATTCCTAGCCAGGGAGAGTTCTCAAAGTCTCCTTTGCCTCCTCATCACTGGTTTTCATCTCTCCTCTGCCTAAAATGGTCAGAAATCAAGGGCAGTGTGTGTTGTATGAGTTCAGGTTCTTAGCACTGAAGCAAATATTCTGGAACTGTCAAATTCAGATCAAGACTCACAGACCCCTGGAAGACTTCTCTTTATCCCTCTGAAGGTATCAGAGCCTGGGACTTCAAAATACTCCCACTCATCAGAACACCCGGAGGGGTTGGACTTAAAGACCTTAAAGCTTTGAGCACTGAGATAGATAACAGGTGCTGGTAAATAAGACCGTCCTGAGTGCTCCCTCAGGCTTAGCCTAGTCTGGAACATCTGAGTGCAGCTGGCCTGGCTTTCTTGGGCTGCCCACCTGGGAGTCTTCATGGATGAAAGTTGTAGGGAATGAAATAATTTTCATGGAGAAAGTCAGGTCAACCAACAGTCGGGCTGATGATAGAGATCTGAACTGTGAGAAGATGGATTGGAATAGTAGGTCTGTTATCTTGGGTAAAAATAATGAGTGCCTATGGTCATGCATGCGTGTGCGCACACACACGTAAATGTAACAATTTTTTTTAAAAAAGCACTGAATCTTAAAACCACGTATTTAACAAATATTAAATGTTAAATGCCTGTGAGTTGTGGGCATGCATAAAGAAATGACAGGATTTGGAGACATAATTTGTAATGAACTCCAGGCCTTCTCTATGACAATAGACCAATTTGAAAGGTAAATGCCTCCCTTTGGGTCCAGTCATCACCTCTTGGACACTGGACATTTTTAACCTCACTTGGAAATCACACCAAAATCCTAACTTGGGACTTTAATTAGACGTGAGGCTTGAGAGAATGGTTCCTGAGGATCTCCTAGGAAGGAGATGCTGGGATTTGTCCCACCACAAAGGCACGCGTAGAAATAGTGCTCTTGTCCCTTTCTAAGAACTCGATGTCACCCAGAGAGAATGCAGAGAGGGTGTCCCTTTGCCACAGAACCTGGATCAGCTACAGCAACAGAAGCAGCCAGCTGCAGGAGCAGCAAAGGGAGGCACCCAGGCTGTGACAGTTGGCAGACATGGCCATAGCTAGTGTTAGATGGAACAACCAGCCAAGCCTGGGGGCTCACCTGTGCAGGCCGACATTTTGCTGACTCCTGCATGTTGGAACTGGTTTTTATAACCAGGGTCCCTTCTGATAGGCCAGTGCCCCTTCCCAGGTGCTAAATATTTTCAATATTGCCCTGCTCTCTGCCAGTTTTGCCACAGTAGCTTGAAGCAGCAGGTTCCAGGAACGTGCTTGGTGGTAGCGGACTGGACTCTCAGGTGAGCTTGGGAGGACATTCCTTATGAATGTCCCAGGGGACACGTCTTAGTGTTCTTGCCCTTTCCCTAGCTGATGGAAGTAGCTCTCAAAATATCATGGAGCAGGGGCTGGAGAGATGGCTCAGAGGTTAAGAGCACTGGCTGCTCTTCCAGAGGTCCTGAGTTCAATTCCCAGCACCCACATGGTGGCTCACAACCATCTATAATTTGGTCTGGTGCCCTCTTCTGGCTTGTACACAGAACACTGTATACATAATAAATAAATCTTTAAAAAAGAATGCCATGGAGCGGCCTGAGCAAATAATGTGATATTCGTAATTGCAAAGGAAGCCGCTGATCTTAAAATGCAGCTCTAGGTTCTGCTGGTCTTAAAATGCAGCTCTAGGTTGGGGAGATTTTAGCTTTTTGTTAAAAGTAGCCTGGGAAAGATGAATCATAGGCAGCATTTGCTCAGTAAGAGAAACCCTAGCACTTTTTAGCCTTCTCATTAAAAATGTCTGAGATCACCAGGCAGGGGTGGCTCATGTCTTTAATCCCAGAACTTGGGAGGCAGAGACAGGCGGATCTCTGTGAGTTCAAGGCCAGCCTGGTCTACAGAGCCACATAAAGGAACAAATAACCAAACCAAAAAAAATTCTGAGAGTTCTACACAGCCCCCCATCTGTAAGCAACGAGCTTCCACAGCTGAGTTGAAGCAGCCATTTACCCAGAGTGTATGAGCAACAACTGGTTTTATAAGATCCTGAAGGTGAGCTCACCATGTCAGTTTTCCTTGTGAACAGTCTTTGGCATGGGAATGCATTACCAAATGACTTAAAAAGCACCAAGTTTTGGGGGTGAGAAAGGGAAGAACTGCA